CCCCAAAACCCCAAAACCCCAAAACCCCAAAACCCCAAAACCCCAAAACCCCAATTTGATCTTAAGAGATTGAAAACTTTCAGAAACCTAAATAAGTCAATTGAATACAACACAACAAATCGCTGAGTGATTTTATGCACATTTATATACAAATCCCACGCTCAAAGTATTACCACATACCCAAAACTTCCTCGCCTAAAAAACCTTACTATCTCCTCAAAGCCCAGCCCAGCTCATACCTCTCCCACCTCCGAATAATTCTTAATAAGCCCTCTGATAAATAAGAGTATTATTATTAAAGAAAATTGTAAAATCCCTTAAGGAAGTTGGATAAGGTAACTGAAGGATGGGGAGAGAAAGAGAGATTTGAAGAGGGATTAGGAGGGAATGGGGTTATGGGGTTTTATGGGGGTTTTATGGGATTTTATGGGATTTTATGGGATTTTTGGGATATTTTGTACCGTTTTAGGATCCCTGAGTTTATTTGAGCAAGATATCCCTTCTTTTTGGGGTTGGTGGGTTTTGAAAGTTTCATTTTATTTGTATTTTGGTTTACCGAAATTTTTCAAAAAACCGCACACGAAAGTTTCCATATCTCTTTTCTTTGGCTTTGAAGAAGATAGAAGAGGTAAAGAAGTGTTTAAATATCGTCCATCTTCTTTGTCTAATGATATTCTTTTCTTAATTTTCTTTTTTCTTAGTAGCTTTATCCTATCCTTTTTAGCATCATATTTCCTATCCCACATTGAAGGAAGTGATTTCACAGGACCTGAAATATTCAATGCACTATGTTCTGAATGATTAGACATTTTTCTTTGAAGATATCATGCATTATTTCGATTCTCATAATTCTCTAAAAATGAGTTATTATTTACCAAAACTAATATGGAGATTTCTGCTATTCTTAAGTTTCACATCGGCAATTGCACTTCTAGCAGATTTATAGATCTGACTAGAGTTCATACTCCTTTTGTCAGTATAATAAGTATCCTGAGGCTGCTTTGGCTTCATTTGAGGATACTCGCTCTTGGATTTCTGGAGGTATCGCCTCTAGACGTTACAGAGTTAACTTACAACAACTTTTGTGCTCCTCCCATTGTCATAATTTGAAGAGAACAAGTTTTGATACATATTTTTCCTCCTTTCCACCTCACTGTTTGACATAGTTTTGGTGTTGATCTTCAGCATTCGGCTGATCTTCTCTTCGGATAACTGAAATGGCTCTCAAGAGTTAAAACCATTTAACACCAAAGTGGAGGAAGCTTCTTTCAAAGTTTCCGAGGAAGATGCTCAGTTCTCTAAACTCTTTAATAAAGGCCTCTTAGGTTTATCCTTAGGTCTCTTGCTCTTGTTGAAGGAAATGCCAGTGCTCAAAATATTGATCCCATTAAAATTTTTGAGGGCTGCTGATGAATAAATTTTTCCTTCCAATGAACTCTTTAGTTGTATCTAAAGTTTTGACTTTAGAACCTAAATCAATTTTAACTTCCAAATATAAAATTTGAGTTTATTAAATTGCCGAAAAGTGCTTTGAAGATTGAGAGGTAAAAATTCGTAGCATGAAACCACATTTAGCCACGACTAAGCTATGCCCCTTTTGTATTAAAATTTGAGGTAAGTTGTACATGTATAAGGAGACTCATCATTAAATCTATTTTCCATTGTTTCTCTTGCTCAATAATTATATTCGATTTTAAATAAATCGAAACCTGAATGGGGTTTTGGGGTTTTGGGGTTTTGGGG